CATAATTGTGTATCTGTAATTGACAGATACTAATATTTATTTGCATTTCTTCCTTCCTTCCTTCTCTCTCATTTTCTCCTTTTCTTAGCCTTTCATCAATAATTACTCTTATCCAAGAAAACATGGAATCTTACCAATGTAACTCTGGTTGAAGACCACGAAATATCAAATAATAGTTATTAAAAACCTGCCAAGAAATTTAGTTCTCATGAAGAACAACGTTAAGCGTGTTGGGAATAATCTATCTGAATATGTGCAGCTCATATTCAATATTTTAATTTTTTCCCTCTGATCAAGGCAAATTGATAGTTCAACAGGTCCAGGTTGCTTCACAGAAAGAAAGATTACAATGGCTGCAGCAGAGATTGGGGGGAAAAGAAAGGTAGAATTTGAATAGATACATAAGGAACTGGAGTGCAGGAATAAAATGATGAGAGTTAAAAATAGAACAACTGAGAGAAGTCATAAGTAAAATCAACAACCACAGATTATTCATAAAGCTGGTGAGTTTCATGAAAGAAAGGGTGTCCATTGAAGGAGACATTGGAAGACAAGTAGAATTGAATTTCAGGAGAATGGTCTTGCCCAACTCAAATCTGAGGTACATTTGAAATATTTATAGAAATGTCCATCAGATAGTTGAATAAATCAGCACAGACTCCGAATTCCAAAGGAAAAGCACAAACACCATCAGATACCACTAAGAAGCCAAATCAGATAAGCACTTACTGGACTCCCTGGGATGCAGTAGTGAAAAAGATTCTGAAGTACTGTTTCCATGAGTGATATAAGCATAAAAACGTCTTCTGAGGAAGTGGTGCTGTGGCTCAAGTGGTAGAGTGCTCATCTTGAGCTGAAGAGCTGAGGGACAGCGCCCAGGCCCAGAGTTCAAGCCCCATAACTGACAAAAAAACAAAAACAAAAGTCTTCTGAATCATCATTGGCCAATATCTTTCATTTAAGTTAAGGATACTTGGCAAGAAAAAGAAATATTCCAAAGACTAGAAAGGTGAAAACAGGAAAATGAAAAGGAATGTCAGAGTGACTAGAATGTGTGAAAATCAGGACTGACCTTTAGATGAAATGGACACTAAAAAGAGAAAAAAAGACATTTGCTAAAGTCAGACTGGGGTCATACAGAATAGAAGTGGGAAAGACTTTTTCCTTCTTTGCTCTTATTTTAGTGAGAAAGAACTAAAGAGTCTTTGAATCCAGCAAACAGTATGGTGTCACATACATGAGGCAAGAAAAAGTATCTGAAAATTTGAAATGGAAAAAGACTGATAAGTTCACTGAGTGGAGTTGACCTTCAGTGAGCAAGAAGCACCTCTTTTATAAAAATGGTTTAAAAAAAGGTTGAGTATTAGCCATAAATTGGGAAGTAGTGTGAATTTTAATCTTTATATATTCTATGTTCATAAAACAACAGTAAAGGTAATTGCCCAAAAGCTGGAGTGGCTAGTGGAAAGATGAAAGGTTATATGAAAGCAAAGATTTGAAAGTACACAAGTAAGTTGATCAAAGAGAAACATAAGAAAGATTGAAATCATTAATTATTGGTAACCATTTCTGATTACATTTAGAGATATGTAGGAAGTTTTAGGACCAGCTTTCTGAATCAGTGGTCGCTGGGTTTTTTTTTTTTCCTGCTCCATTGTGGATCTCTAACGTAAATGCTGATAATCACATACTCATTGGTCACACGCATCTGCTAAAATTCAGACAGAAAACTGTATATGTTTGTGTATGCATCATATGTCTGGTGTGTGTGCATTGGATGTTTGTGTGTAGACCTCTGCAGTTTGAAATGTTCAATATATGATTCTGATATGCCCTCTACAGGGAAGATGATAAATATCCTTGAGAACAAAACTACCATGTGTTGAAAGTGAACCAGAATTTAAGAATTTCTATGTAGATATGTGGCAAGTTATTGTTTTATTTACTGATATTTTAACTGTACACAACAATGCTTGATAAGAAATGTACTCATTACCTTGCCCATGTAATTGTAACCCCTCTGTATGGTATTTTCACAATAAAAAAAACAGCAAAAAAAAAAGACACACAAAATATCCTGTTCCTCTTCTTTAAATAAATAAATCTTTAGATACTCTTATTTCAGTATACAAATTCATTCTTGGCTGCTGGAAGTATCCATTATTAAAAAATCAGTTGTTCCAAAGTATAATCACTTAAATGTGAAACAATTATTTGTTAACAAAATATTTATGAACATCCCACATGTATTAACTCAACACAGTGTCAGCAACTTTCTCTGTAGGTAGAATTTTCTGGCTTGGACTGAGTTATTAAGTGCTTTGGGTCACTAGTGCCTCAATTAGGAAATTACTGATCTTTGGCATTTTACTGTCAGGAGAACAGTATATGTAGCTTTTAAGTCTTTAATTGAGTCTCAGAGAGTTATTTATTCACCATTAAGATCAAGATAAATGGGTCATCTCACACAATAGCGATAATAAACAGTTACATTCATTTCCCAAATAGATAAAAGGAAGCCTAGAAAAGATAGAAGTAGAGAGCTGAGAATCCAGGATATATCTGAAGAGGACCAATTTCCAATATCTGCCTATGAAATATATGAGCTTAAAAAACAATAGACATTATTTATTTACAAGTCCATTTTCATTTAACATTATGTTTAATACACTTCATTTAATAATTCTAATCTTACAGTTCATATGATAATATGAACTTTTCTGGGACTTGAACTCTGGGCCTGGGTGCTGTCCCTCAACTCTTCAGCTCAAGGCTAGCGCTCTACCACTTGAGCCACAGTGCCACTTCGGTTTTCTGGTGATTTATTGGAGATAAGAGTCTCATGACTTTCCTGCCCAGGTTGGCTTTGAACCCAGATCCTCAAATCTCAGCCTCCTAAGTAGCTAAGATTACAGGCATGAACCACTGGCACCCGGCTTAAACTACAATTTTTTGTTCTAATTTTGTTTTTGTCTTTTAAGAAAAGACATTACCAGTTACCCTAACTTCCTCTAATGATTCTTTCAGAAAGTGAGTGGTATTTTGGAAAAATGACCAATCAGGAGGTCAAGCTCACAAAAGTACTAACTTTTCTTTTCTTTTTTTTCCTTTCCTTTTCTTTTCCTTTTTTTTTTTTTTGTTGTTGTTGTCATGGGGCTTGAACTCAGCCTGGGCTTTGTCCCTGAGCTCTTTTTGCTCAAGGTTAATGCTCTGTAACAGCTCCACTTCTGGTTTGGGAGTGGTTAATTGGCAATTTAAGAGTCTCGTGGACTTTTCTGCCTGGACTGGCTTCAAATGGTGGTCCTCAGATCTCAGCCTCCTGAGCAGCTAGGCTTACAGGTGTGAGCCACCAGTGCCCGGGTAAAATTACAAACTTTGAAGCAAAAAAAAAAAGCTGTTTCAGTACTGTCCTCTGCATTGCATTGTTGTTGTTATTAGTGTGTTAGTGTGTTTTATTTGTGCCAGTACAATGTCTTGAACTCGTCACTTACTTGTTCACAGCTGTTACTCTACCATTTGAGCCACACCTCTGGGCCACCATTTGCTAGTTGGTTGGACATGAAGTCTCTTGGACTTTTCTGTCCTGTCTGACTTCAAACTGTGATTCTCAGATCTCAGCCTTCTGCTTCAGTAGAATAAGAAGAGTGAGCCACAAGTACCCAACTTAACCTCTGTATTTATTAACATAGAAAAAAAAGTAAACCAAATTCCCCAAATTTTTATTTCTTCACCATTGAGATGGCAAGAAAACCCACACAATTCATAGCTCATTTTAAGGATTAAGTGAAAATATATACAGATGTTTAGCCTTGGATAGTAATAAATAGACAAGACCCTTGTACATGTGTGGACACACACACACTTGTTCAACTTTTGCTAAAATATTTCTGAAGAACATTTCTACTAAAAAAAAGTAGATTTAATTGGGTTTGATATTCCACTGTGCATATTAAATTCCTGGCTTTGTTTCTTTATCTTGGTATCCAAAAGCTATGAAATAAATGTCTATACCATTTCATAAGACTATAAAAAAGAAGTAAAAATAACTAGAAGATGTTCAGCATTTCCTAGAGTTTGTATTTGTGTGGCAGGGCTTCCCACAGCTTTACTCACAGCCACATATCATATTTCAAGTCAGATGCATCTTTCAGATACTTAACTATATATATATATATATATATATATATATATATATATATATCCGATATAGTTAAATTCTATATATCATAGAATTAAAATGTGCAGTCATTTATTCTGTTTTACTGCAATTCTCTGATGCATCTTAAATAAGTAAAATAGCATGCACCAGAGTTGTGAGTACTGTCTCCTCAAACCTAAAGAGGCATGTGTTTAGAAGAACTACAACTCCATGACTTATCCACCATATTGATCATCAGTGGTTCATTGAATACTCCTGAAGTTCATACAGTATATGACATGACTTACTAGCCTGAAAGCTGTAACCAACCCATTAAGGTTAGGGCTCAATAGTATAGTTTTATGCAGAAAAATTTAAAGTAAGGGTAGCAATGTCATGTTAGAAATTTAAAATACACCCCTCCCCCCATGATTTACAAGTACAGAACATATTGAATATCTTGGAAATACTTTCTTACAATTTCTTGCATAAGTTTTTTCTTTGCTTCTGTGTTAATGATGACTTTGATTTTTAAAAAAAGATGTAAGGTGGGGGGGGAAACAATTCTTCCACATATTATTTTTGTCTGAGATATTCTTCACTGGCATTTCCAGGCACTGATAATATGAACAAGGTAATTTGTTTGACTCTTGGGGAGAGATTTACAGTAAAAAAAGAAAAAAAGTTAAAATTCACACAGCTCTTCTGTAAGAAGTCTGCAGGGTTTTCAGTGTATATAAAAAGGCTTACGATGTTCCCTCAGGCACCTATATTTTTTCCCTCAAGGCAAGCTGAGGTGCCACAAAGCCAACTGTGTTTTTTTTACACTATTAATGTATTCATTTTTCTTTCCATTTTTCAGAGAGCTGACATAGGGATTTCTGCCTTAACCATCACTCCAGATCGAGAGAATGTGGTGGACTTTACAACACGCTACATGGACTACTCGGTGGGCGTCCTCCTTCGAAGGGCTGAAAAGACGGTGGATATGTTTGCCTGCCTTGCACCGTTTGACCTGTCTCTATGGGCCTGCATTGCTGGCACCGTCCTTCTAGTGGGTCTTCTGGTCTACCTCTTGAACTGGCTTAATCCACCACGATTACAAATGGGATCAATGACGTCCACTACACTCTACAACTCCATGTGGTTTGTGTATGGATCCTTTGTACAGCAAGGTAAGTCTTCAACCCCTCCCAAATGTATTTGTTCTACTATAAAAAGAAATGTGACGTTTTAAATGCAGTATAGTCAGCTAATTCTGAAAATTCTGTTTCTGGCATCTATAAGAGTTCTAAAGGTTCCTCACAGCGCTGCTCAGGGGTGAGCAATGCCTTGCTATCTCTGGTGGATCTCAAACACAGCAAGATTCCAACAATAATGGCTCATTAGCTTTTGATGTAAGTTCAGTTTCATCAACAAAAGCAAAAGTGAATGTCAGAGGTAAGGTTCACAAGATTCCTCAAGATCAGATTTTTTTCTTCCCCAAACTCTGACTTTCTGAGAAATAGCTTGACTTTGATACAAACCACTTACTACTAGATAAAGTACTATTAAATTATTTATATCAGGGATGCTGGGATTTGTGCTTTGTTCAATGGTGTTATTTCCTCTATCGCACGTAGTCATGAGTAGTGAAAAGACATTCGTTAATTTAAGACTGTGGTAAGAAATATTATGTTTTCTCTTTCACTTCAATACATAATTTACTAGTGATTTCGCTTAGATTCTGTTATATTCAGAAGAATATATTTGCTCCGTGCGCCATACCTTTAAACTTCCCAGATTATCTTTGGTTCTCACGACTTCAGCATAGAATAATCTGTATTTTTCAGCTTGTTTGAATCTGTGTCCTGCACAGAGAAGGAAATGAGGGGATTGGTTGTCTTGGAATTTCAGTACATACATTGCACAGAATCAAGTGTTTCGTTAGAAACGTGATGCTTTTGCCTTAATGTGTACTCCTCTCACTGTGGGACCCTCCTTTCCACTTCCTTCTTTTTGTTCTCATTTAACTAAGCTGACTCTTTGTCTCCACTTCTATCCCTTAAACTTTTCTCACTTCTATCCCTTAAACTTTTGTAAGCATTAGAGTCTTGGGTTTATTTCTACATGACAAATAATGATGGAGGTCCCCGGTAGCTATAGAACTTTTAGTCCAATCTCTAAGTTCTTAATATAAATTAATTGCTATAGTAGAATATCTTTCAGCTTTTACATGGTATTAATTCAGTAATAATTTAATATATACTAGTTATTTAAGTTGAGACTTACTGGACATTGAATATTTCATGCAAAGCACGAGACACTGCCATCCTTGGGCCACAAGTCTCCTGAGAAGCAAACATGCCATCCATGAGTTATAATTATGGGCATAAGGCTCTGTCTTAGGGATTCATGCAAGCTCTTAGAGATTGTACAGGTAGGCTAGGCATAATGGTTCTTAACCTTAATCCTACCTACTCAGTAAGCTGAAATTGGAAGGATCACAATTTAAGGCCAACCTAGGCCAAAAACTCCTAAGATTCCATCTCAATGAATGAAAACACTGAGTTTAATGATAGGGGTCTATCATCCTTATTCTATAGAATAGGAGGGGCAGGATCCAAGTCAGTCCTGAAAAATATGAGAAACTATTTGAAAAATAATAAAAACCCAAAAGATTGGATGTGTGGCTCAGATGCTAGAGAACTTCCCTAGGAAGCACAAGGCCTTATGTTCAAACTCCAGGAACACCAGAGAGAGAGAGAGAGAGAGAGAGAGAGGCAATATATATAAGAAAGCTCATATATATATATTACATATAAAAGCTATATCTTAATATAGCAAAAAGCCTCTTTGCATTTGCTGTTATATAAACAGAGACATTATGTAAAGAATCTGAGGGATGAAAGGAGTGGAGGAAAGGAACCACAGCCAATTAGAACTAAGCTTCAGACCAAGAAATGAGAGCAAAATTAGGATCGATTCCACAGAGGGAAAACAGTAAAGATGAGGTTAAAGGTATGTTTGTTATTAAGAATTTGAACTGATGTTAGAGAAATGATCAACTCTGTAAAGACAGACTTGTTCACATATTGTGCTTATGTTAAGAATATATTGGAAATAAAAAGTAGTAAAATAAAATGTGAGACAACATTCCCAGTAACTGAGTAGAGTTGATGAACTGTAATGGCGTTGAGAGTTGAGAATAAAGTACTGATCAAATAGAACCAATGGAACTTGAATAACTAGATCAAAGTTTGGAAGGACAAAAAGGAGATATACTCTTATCCTAAATTTCTTATCCTAGATTTCTGGGTTCAAATTTGTGCTTGTTGATGTTAATCCCCTTGACAAAACGAAGGAAACAGAAAGAGCAGATATTTGTGGTATCTTTGAAACATCCCAGAGGCATTTCTAGTCCTTGCATAATGATTGATATATCTACCAGAAGCCAAGGGATATTTGGGCTAAGTATATATTTAGGAATAATGTAAAACATAATTCTAACCATAGCAATGTGAAAATTGTTTGAAGCTGTTGTTCTCAGCTATTGTTCTCAGCTATATATGTCTTGTCAATGACACTGGCTTAGAAAAGGCCCAAGACAGAGTTCCAAGAAAGTGATTAAGTAATTTAAGGAAGGGATTAAGACTGCAATGGTGACTGATTGACAAAGGTCACTAAAAAGATGCAAAGAAAACTCAAGAGTACCTGGCAGTATACATACCATATTAAGAAAAATAATTAAAGACTCGGAGTTTTATAGACAGTGTTAAAAATGTCAAAGAATCAAGCACAATTAAGACTTGAAAGGTATTTGTTGGATTTCTCAATAAATTGGTTATTGCAGCCAAAGGTTTGCCTTTCGTTGTTCTGTAAGGTCTGATGCTAACACTGGAGAACTCAGATTCGGTAATCATCAAAGATTCATTCACTTCACTCACATGTCTGGTGGTTTGTGCTATATGTGGTTCATGAGGTTTTAGTTTTCCCTTGAGGGCCTTTCCATGTGGTTTTCCTTCCTGGAATAGTTGGCATAGTGGTTAATTTCTCCATAGAGACCATCTCCAGAATTTTGTGGTCCAGATCAGCATGCATCCTTTCTTCAGAGAATATCCAGGATGTGCTTGCCTCATAAAATTTTACGAGAATTGGAGTGGCTCAAAATGGTGAAGTTATTAAATCGAACAAATTATATGTGTTTCAAAAAAAGGTATTTTCCAAATTAAAAACAATAGACTCTGCTGACAATAGTTGGATATAATAGGAAAATGGTTTAAGGTTACTGGCAAGATAACATATGAAGTGTGTAAAATAATAAAAGAAATTAGGAAGACTGGTAATGATAATGTAATGAAGAGTAAGAACAGAAAACAGTCGAGTCTTTGGAGGAAAAAGTAGCAAATGTCTTCATGAGATTAAAAAAGCAACTGTGGAAATACTAATATATGTGAAGTTTGTATTCACAACATAAGGCACACAACTCTAAATTATTGAAATGAAACAGGGGAGGACAAGTTTAAAGGATGTGTATGTGAATTCAGATTCCGGAAGGTAAACATTTGTGAAGAACTTCAAAGCTGGTGATTGAACTAAGGCACTAGAGAGCTAGATCCACCTTTTATGGAAACCCTCTGTAGAGGTTGCTGGCTAAGACTAGGAAGGAAGAAAATGAGCCATTCACCGAAGTCAGTGCCCTAGGAAGCATAAACAGGATGTTGATAGGTAGAAGCACTGAATAGGAATAAGAACTGGCATCAGCAGCTGTAATTCACCCATTCTCATCTCAATTCTTTCCATTCCCGTCATTTTGTCTGTGCTTTGTTGCAGCCATCACCAAACATGCTGATGACCCACGAATCTCTACTACACATCCTCGAACTTCTGACCTATACATCTGACCTATACATCACCTCGTTGTTGAATGTACCAAAAATAACACACACCGCACCATGACATACGTGGGATTCATCTTATACTTGGAACATCTTCTCTCCAAGCTTCTCATCTTCTTCTTCCAGGGGATGAATTACCATCCACATAGACACATACTAGAAATCTGAAAGCACTTCTTCTTTCTCCTAACTCATATTCAACAAGAATTCATTTTACCTCCAAATGCTTCTAGAGTTTGAAATCTCACATGGAGAGATTAGGTCTACCTCGTTTCCCACCTGAAGCACAGGAACTCATAATATCTCTTCCCTTCTTCAGTTTTGTCCCTTGGAAACAAACGATACTCGTACTTAAATATAACCAAAGTGATTGTTGCCATGGAAATCTGGACATGTGGTTGCCCTTCTTCCAATATTTCACTGACTTCTCAAAGGCCACAGTTTAAGAGGTTGGAGCTCTTCAGAGTTTACAAAATAGTCCACTAGCTGAACTACATTTCTGCTTCACATTTGATCGCAAAGTTACTATATACTACTTTTCACATCCTTCATGTTCAGACAACATTCGCTCTTTGCTCATGCTGCTACCTTTCCAATTTCTAGAATGCCTTTCTTACCAGCCTTCTCAGTCTGCATTCTCAATCTCTACTTTCCTATATCAAGGGTCTGTCCATTCTTTTTATCTCACATCTTTCAAGACATACATAGGGGCATCAACTAACTTTTGTTCTTCTCAAGACATATCAACCCTAGTACTTAACAGCATAATGCAGTTATCCTTTTTTTAATCATTTCTCACAAATGAAATAGTTAAAAGCCGGGTGTCAGTGGCTCATGCATATAATCCTAGCCACTTAGGAGGCTGAGATCTGAGGATCTGGGTTCAAAGACAGCCCAGGCAGGAAAGTCCATAAGACTCTTATCTCCAATAAGCCACTCGAAAATTGGCAGTGGCACTGTGGCTCAAGCGGTGGAGCACTCACCTTGAGCTGAAGAGTGCAGGGACAGCGCCCAGGCCCAGAGTTCAAGCCCTAGGACCGGCAAAAAAAAAATGAAATAGTTATAAGACACTATCTTCAAAATTCCTGTGCTCTTGTACTTATTGGATGGTTGGCAAATGCATGTTTACCAACTCAGTGGATGAGTGACTGAATGTTAAATGAGTAACTAAATAAAATATGGAGTAAACTGTATTACTATATTAGATTATAATCTAAAACCTCACCTAAATTCTTCCCCTGTGACCTCAAATTCATGACACAAGATATATTTACTTACAGTGTCTCTCCTGAGTGTAT